GGAAGCAGATATGAGAATTCCACTCCTTCCTACTAAGACATTAAAGGGACTTGAAAAAAAAAAACTAATGAAGTCTTCTCTTTTGTTCCTTTTTTTAAAAAAAGTTACTTTTTATTAAAAATGTATTTTTATGTTAGCATATTAAGAGTTTGCTGTGATTTTTAAATTAATACACAAATATTTTTAAAGTTTCTCATTTTGTTTCTCATAGTAATAAAATAAATTTTAACTTACTTTTAATTAAAAATTAATAATAGTCACAGAAGCTCTTTGGAGTCCTCAATTTAAGATAGAGTTCTGAAAGCAAAAAGTTTTCATTATTTTATTAGCTGCCATTTGCAAAGCTTGGGCAATTTGCTCTCTTTTAATCCTCCCAGCAAACCTATCAGGAAGGTACCCCATTAATCTCCTCCCAGAGGCATAAACTAGGGCTCAAAATCATTAGCCACACAGCTTGCATGCTGTGCAGCTAGAATTTGAAGCTAGTTCTATCTGACCCCAAAATCAAACTTGAAGGAATCAGTAACCTCCTTGCATGCAATATACCTGTTGCTTTCCTGGACAGAGAGGTTGAAGCAGAGGTCAAGAAGACTGGATGAATTATTTGAGATGGCTCAGGCAGCTAAAAGCCAAGACCTTCTGCTGTCTGTTCTACTCCTCATAGGGACTTGTCCTTTCAAATGGCAATTCCTTTTGTGAGAAAGGAATGCCTTCAAATTCAAATGATACTATGAACCTGGTGGAGGTCTGTTCCCCTTATAACAGGCATTTCTAATAGCACAGTATGCAGACTTTGCTGAGCACTCAACAAGGAAGAAACGTTTGTCCAGTTATCACATTCTAAACTGCCAAAATACATGTGCATTGCCTTAAGTTTTTCAATTATGTTACAGGTCAGCTTGTGCATTTTATCTGTTCGACTCTCTTTTGTAAAACAATTACAATGGTAAAAACAAAGAAACTATTGAGTACTTAACTATGCGTCGGTCACCGAGAGGAAGACTTGATACCAAGGTCTCTCTGAATCCTCACAAGAATACTCCCAGGCTGGCAGTGGGGTGTCCTACCTGCTTTACAGATAAGGAGATGGGCTTGCCGAGGGGAAGCTACTTGCCTGAGGTCACCCAGCTAGTAAGTAGGCGGTGAGTCAAGTATCAGACCCAGGTCCGGGTGGTTCCCAGGCTAAGATTCTTAACCAGCATGCATTGCAAGATCCTAAAAGGCAATGTCAATCTGTCTGTGGAAAGGAGTTCCCCAAAGTAAACTTGAAGTAGCCCAGGTAAATTAGGAAAGGGTCACAATTTTATGGTCAGAGATTTTAAGGAAAAACCAAGTGATGCAACCTCTTCATGTAATAAGAAAACAGATACAATTCTTTAATTTTGTCCTTAGCTTAACCCTTCACTAACATCCAGCAGCTCGGAGTGTACAGAGAAAGGCAGTAAATTCCTCATCTGTATCCCAGTGTGCCAACTGTTTTGGTTTTAATTGTGTCAGGTGTGTCTTCCTTCTGCCTGGAGGTCCTTCCTTAGGTTTGAAAATATCATGATCACATCAACAGTGTGAGAGGTGGTGGGAGAGCTGAGGTTCCACATGTGTCAACAACAGATGTGCACGTCTCCTGGAGCACTGGAAAAAAGAGTAATAGGAGTTCCCTTAGGGCTGTGCTCCACGTGCCCCAGGAGGGGATAAGGACGAAAGCCTCTGTAATTTATATTGACTGCTGAGGTAACCAGGTGCTTTCAGCAAGCATTCCAGTTGCAAATTTGGGTTTTAACAACCTTCCCAACAACCTCTGATTCGGGAGGGAGACAAAGAGGGAAGAGATATGGGAACATATATATATGTATAACTGACTCACTCTGTTATAAAGCAGAAACTAACACACCATTGTAAAGCAATTATACCCCAATAAAGATGTTAAAAAAAACAAACAAAAAAAAGCCACCTGGTCGATAAGAGAAAAGGGAGAGGCAGTGGTTGGTCACATGCTTCACAGGAGAGAACCCGGGAGGCTTTCTGTGACCCATTTATGCCTCGCAGATTTATAGCTGTGAGGACCAAGTATTTGAGCCTATCAACATACACACAGATGAAAAAGGATTTTAGAGGAAAAAAATTTTCTTCTTCCCAAACCTGTGTTCTAAAGATGCAGTTAGTTATAACCATTAGGTCCAGGTTTTGAATCAATACTTTTCCAACAGGAAACAAAGTAGAACAGCACATCATTTAGAGCTGGACCAGGGCTCAGTAGTGTTCCAACAAAAGATCATGCTGTTGCTATTACCTCTTTTCAATCCTTCACTCTGCAAATCAAAGAAACACCTAAAAATCGAGAAAGATACTTCCTAGAGGAACTGTAACACACACTTAACTCTGAATAAAGACACCTACATTAAGAGCAAGGCTGGTGATGTTAATAACAGGCATAGGTAATGCCCAAAATATAAAACTTAGAAAACGTCTAAGACCCTTTCTGCAAGAGCTTACATGCCAAAGGGGCAAGGATGGAGGATGATTACGAAACTAAACCCCAGGTGGAATCTAAGTCAAAACTAGAACTTTGCCCTGCACTGTGAGCATGATGCTTTTAGGAACATACAGATTATGGGCAAGTTAATTGTTAGGGTGTTGTTTTTAAATCTTGTACTAAGGGGGTACACTTGACCTGATTTTTCACACTTTCTCCACCTACAGTCCTCTATGAGATGGGTATTTAATGATAGAATGCTGTAGCTAAACCGTCTTGCCTATTTTAAAGTTTTTTGGGTTGGCGGTGAAAGGCAGCTCTTAACTCATCCAGCATTCTTGGTCTCCATCAGAACATTCAATGAATCAAACCTCTGACCACACTGGACACATGTTGGCTAAATTTAGCTTTGTATCAGCAAACACTCCAGCTCAGAATAGTTCAGGGAGCTCTCATCTTACCCTTAGACAGTGATTCTTCAAAGACTGTTTTTCCATGGCAGGCCAAGGCAGGGCAAGGGGAACTCCACGTGCTCTCTCGATGGCCACTGTCAAGAGACTGACCCAAGGTTAAGGGAATCTGACAGGCCACGGCAAAAATGTTTATCCTCACCTCTCCATGGTGGGAACACGAAGTTAGCAATAGATCACATTTTCCTTTGTTATAAGTAGTTTGCAGTAATGGCTTGACATGCTCTATGGTCCTTGAACCACATCCCATATTACTCAGCCATCTAAGTCTAGCATCCCTGAATCTCCAGCTTCTCTGAATTAGATGTGGCCAAGTTTTCTATAAATAGAGAGCAAGCAAACTGGTTCTGTCAGTCTTCTCATATTCTGGCAGGATAACATATCTTAAAATTATAAAAATATCTATGTCTTCATCACTCTAAAATTATTACATAACATATGATTTTCTCAGGGAAATAAAAAGTTTATTCTTGTCTCTCCCTACCTCCCAACGCTCATGGACCTTAAAACTTTAGGATCATGTTCATCAAAACTACTGAATGCAAGTCCAAACCAGCTTTAAGTGCCCACTATGTGCCAGACACCGTGTTACACAAATAGAAAAATGTATAAGGAAAATAAAAAGTCGAGGTTCTTGTTTTAAATCCCAGAAGGACAGTCCATAATAACTTATGGTGGCATGTACATAGGTCACTTTAGATAGAATGCAATTTTCATTACACTATTAGCTCATGATCACTCTTCTTAAAATGGGCCTTTAGTAGATACCACTGGACACTTTAATCTCACATCTCCCCTAGAAGGGGCCAATACCCCCAGATAGCTGAGATCTTGAAAACATGACTTGATATTATACATATAAATGGTGGAGTCTAAAAGAGTGAGTTTGACAAACTCTTAGATTATCTGCTGTTTATGCCTAATCCAATAAAGGAAGGCTTCCCCACCCCACCCCCCCAAAAAAACCCAACAAAATCATAAAAATACACATAAGCAGACTTTATAAATAAATCACATTTTAATCACCTGGCTTTGTTTAATCCACAAAATCAAGTTCACAGCTTTTTCTAGTTTGTTTTCCCTAACCACGTGACCTAATGTATTTTCTGAAACCTTTCATGTTTTAAGAAAAATATGTTCCACCTTTCATCTTGCAACCCCAGGGCCAGCTTCCCTTATATTCCCAGTCAATGGCTGATGCAGTCACCTCAAAGAAACACTGATGGAATGATGGTAAACTACAGTCTCAAAGACCTTCAGAATAGTAAAAAGAAAAAAGAAAAGAAAGAAAAAGAAAAAAAGTATCAAGCAAGATAGCCTCCAATGTTCCCTGGAATGGCTCCAATCACTGAAACCTTCCCTCCTGCAGTCACCCTGGCCCGGAACCTGGAGCATTCCAGTCATTCTGCCATCTGTCAGGTTCTGCAGTGCTTAGAAGGTGTTGCACAAAGGTGTCTGAAACTTGTTTCTGCCGGTGACCTAAGAGGTTCCTACCCACACTAGGCCCGCAGCAGTTCTCAGGCCATGTGCCCTGAGCCAGTTTAGAGCCATGGCAGTGACTACCACAGCGAAGGCTCATGACATGCATTACAAAGTGCCTATGAAAACAGAAATAAGGATTACATTTGCTCTATTTCCCACTCTTCCTCTGGAAACTTTCCCCTTGGTGATCAGTTCCCCTAGAGCTGACCCACCCAGCCCTGGAAGTAACACAAGGTACTCAGGGATTCACTGCCTAACATTTCATATCCTTTCCCACCACGCCCACTCCTTAGTGTTACTATTTTGGCAGTGATCTCTGGCTTTCAGAAAGAGAAAAGGAAACTTGCCTTGTTTTGAGAGTATGAGTTGTGACAATACAGCTCTGCCATCTCAAGTAGCGAACTCTAAGAAAGAAAACTTTCTCCACGGTAACACTAATGCAAAAATCTCAGGATATGATCATACCGTTTCAGTGGCCTATAGAGGGAATTCCTTAAGCTTCTCTCTCTCTTACACACGCATACCGACAGACCCACAACTTGGTAGAGAAGGGTTTATTTTATCCCTACCAGAGTGGGAAACCCTTGCATCATTTACTACAGTCTAAAAATTCACAATGGTTTCTCAATACTTTCTAGCATTTCAAATGAAATGCCCAGATGCATTTTTTTTTTTAAGCTAGAGGCTAACCTGAGGGGCAGTGGCTTTGGCACATAGTCTATACTACAGCACAAATTGAATCTTTCCTCCCATCAAAAGCATCAAACCTCAGAGCAGCAAGTTCCTTGACAGAAAAAATCCAGAACGCAGGAAAGGTGGCACAAGCTCCCGATCTGCAGTGATCAAGTGTGAACACGGGGAATGCTGCTTAAAAGACTGACTAGGAATGGCTTGGTGGTTCTTCGCCTGTAACTTGGTCATATCACACAGGCCTTTGGGCCTCATCCCACTCCTGTTCCTAGAGCAAAAAAGTGTATTTGAGAATTCCTCACTCCTTATTGTCATTCTCACTCCCCCACGATATTCTGAGGGAGGAGAGATTTCTGCTTTACCCCCTACTAAAAACTAAAATTCACGGGAGCCTATAAACAAGTCAGGCGGCCAACATGAGGATGGGGAGTTCAGCAAAAGATGACTGGGTTGAGTAGGGAAGCATCTCAGGTAGAGGGAGCTAGGGTCTTTGTTAGTCAAGCCCTAGCATGAATAATTTAGTGTTCTTCATCAGATGAAAGGCCTTCAATTTCATCTCTGTCTCCCCCAATTGCCATCCAGAAAGCTTTGGCCACCTGTGGAGAGAAGCAAGCAACAAACTGTAGGCAACAACTGAATTTCAGCTCGTTTCATGTGTTATACACAGAACTGATTAAGACTTAAAATTCTACACCCTGCCCTCCAGCGCTCTGGCAACATCTATCAAAACCCCCTGAACACCCTAACCCATGACTTCTACTCCTAGACTTTATACTGAGGATATAATCAGAGCTGTTTACACAGGTGATGTATAAGGATACACACAGCTTCACTACAGAAGAAAAAAAAAAGGCACATGACCTAAATGTCCAAAAGGGAACTGGATAAATTATGACACATTCATACAATGGAATACCATAAACCGTATACATTTCCTGCCAAGAACGTGTTGTGTTGGTAATAACCAAACCAAACAAAAAATAACTAAGCGTTTTCCAGCCTAACAGCTAAGAAGGCAAATATCCTGAGTCTCAATGTTCCACGTCACTCAACATACATTGGAAAATCTTGGTTTGACTGCAGCAACTATATTACTACTGGGTAAATATTCAATTAGTTATGTTAATATCCAACAGAAAGTTCACAGTAAGATACTTTAGAAGTAAACAAGTGTGATATACCATTCTTATAGCACTGGACCTGCTGTAGGTACTCAATAAATACCGGACTGATTTTCTCACCTTTTCTGCATGCAACTTTCTTTGCTCGTGAGGAAGCGTCGCAGCCTTGTCTAGGGGGAAAATATATCTTAAGAAATTCATCTAATAGCACAGGACAATCTGGAATGCATGGATGTTCTAACACTAGAAGATGGGAAATGGGTTTCACAGACACATTTATGGTGTAGTCATTATAGCTGTTAGGAAGTTTAAGTCTTCCAAATTTTCCAGATGAGAATGATGTGAGTAAATTGGTAGGGATCTTACTGATTCCATATTAATGAGACACACTGAAAGAAACAGAGACAGGCAAAGGAAGGGAAAGTAAGAGAAAAAGGAATGAAGAAAGAAGAAAATTTTCCCAAGGAAATTTTTACCAACAGAGGATGGCACAGTCCTCCAGTACCCAAGTTTCTCAGATGAGGCCAGAGCATGGAATGCAATCAGCAGTTACAAAGTAAAATCCTACTACATAAAATAGAGGAGCATCAATATGGGAATCTGTTAGACACAACGGATCCGATTACCTTTCATTTCTTTTAACTTTGAAAACAGTCTTTCAAAATTCTCCAAATCTCCTCCACCTGTAGTAAGACTGGCTAGTTCTTGAATGTCCAGGTCTAACGTGGGATCTGAAACAAGGATTCGCCACACATTATTTATGTATGTGCTAAATACACAGAATCCAAAAGCAATCAATCTGGCTTTGATGAAAGTTACCACTGAATGAGTGCCCACTGGGGACCAGCTGTACAGCTCATGGTGCTGCATCCTGCTTGGCTGGTAGTGGGCCCTCACAAATGAACAGTAACTCATTTTATCCGTAAAACACTGTAACGAGGCAAGGAATTCTGTTTCCACTTTTCTAGAGAAAACTAGAGCTCAGAGATCAAGTGACCTTGCTCAAGGTCACAGCTAATAAGTATGACCTTGGATTCAGACTTACATGTTTCCAATTCTAAAGGTCACGCCCTGCACTAAGGTCCACAGATTCAATAAATGCCTGAAATTTATACCATATTTTACTGGTCAACAAATATTTTCACATCTGTTATTGACAACCATATAAGGTGGTTAGGACAGATACCACTGTCCACAATTTACACATGAAGGAAGCTGAGTTTAAAAATGAACTCATCTAAAATTACAGCCATTCAGAGGTAGGGCCAATTTAAATTCCTTTTTCTTACCACAAATTCTTTACTATTTCTACCTTGGCATATGGCTTCTTTATCAAACTTTGTTTTTAATCAGAATTTTCACTCAGCCTCCATTCCAGGCCAGCCACCTCTAGGATGTCTTCCCTGACCGTCCCAGCTCACAGGTCTCCTTCCTTAGGATTTGTCCCACACTTAGTGTTTACAGAGCTGTCTTGGCACTGGCATACACTACTCTGTATGCTAGCATCTGTCTACTGTTACTATAATAAATACTACAGTAAGAGAGAGAGTTTGCTTTGTCCCCACCACTGAGTGCTTTAACTTATACGATTCCATTTCATTTTTGCAACAGCGATGTGAGGAAAGATTTGTCACCCCTATTTTATAGAAGGGGAAACTAAGGCCCACGGATGCTAAATAACTTACTCAAGGTCATCTCACTACTAGTGGTTGAGCCATGATTTGAACCCAGTTGTCCAGGATTCCAAGCCCATGACTTTACCCATTACATTACATTACAAAGCCTGTCTCTTCATTTTTAGACTATAAGCTCCTTGAAGACAAGGATGATAACATAATTCTTTACATCTACTACAATGTCATATAGATAATTTGATGTTAAAGATGCATTTGGTTAATAAATTTGCTTTAGTTCAATGGGCATGCCATGGTGGCAGTTGGTATATAGGGCTAGAGATAAAAAATTTGTGATTAATCTGTATACATGATACCTGAACTGTGGATGTGGACAGAATCACTTCATGCTTAAATACAGGTCTGGAAGAGGAGTTTAGATGGAACATTGAGGAATGGCGATATTTAAAGGCTGGGTAAAGGAGTGTAATCTTCCAAAGCAAGAGAAGGAATCATCAGAGAGGTAGGAAGAACATCAGGAGATGTGTTCGGTGAGTCAAGAGAAGATAATGTTTCAGAAAGGGACTGATTCATAATACTGAATGCCGCCAAGAGGTCAAGATGGGGACTGGAGGACACCTATTAGACTGAGTGGCATGGAAGTCGTTTTCATGGAAAATGGGAGCAAGAGCTAGATGGGAATGAACTGAGGAATGGAAATAAGTAAAGAGAGGAGGGAGATGTGGGGTTGAGGAAGTGTTTTACTTTTGTTTGTTTGGTTTTGTCTTTTTAAAGAATTTTGAAATAATTGTAGTCTTACAAAAAAGTTGCAAAAATAGTACAGAGCCTTCCGATATGCCCTTCCCCCACCCTCCCTCAGTGTTAACATCTTATATAACCATGGTACAATTATAAACATCACAAAGTTAATAATGGAACAATGCTACTGACTAAACTACAGACTTCATTCAACCTTCATCAGTTTTTCCACTAAGATCCTTTTTTCTGTTCCAGGATCCAATTCAGGATTCTACACAGAATTTAGTTGTCAAATCTCCTTAGTCTTCTCCAATTTGTGACAGTTCCTAAGTCCTGCCTTATCTTTCATGATTTTGACACTTCTGAAGAGTACTGGCCAGTTAATTTGTATAATATCCCTCAATTTGGGTTTGTCTGATGTTTTCTTATTATTAGATTGAGGTTATGGACCTTCGGCAGGAACACCACAGAAGTGAGTGCCCTTTCAGTGCATCATATTGGAGGGAGATGATGTCCATATGTCCTGTTACTGGTGATGTAACCTTCATCACTTAAAGTGGTATCTGCCAGGTTTTTCCAGTATAAAGTTACTACTTTCCCCTTTGTAATAAATAACTTGGGAAATATACTTTTTGACTATGGAAATGTCGTGTTTCTTCTTAAACTTTCATCTACTAATTTCACCATTCATCAGTGGATCTTGCCTGCGACAACTATTACTGTGGTGTGTGGCTAAGGGTAATTTTCTATTTCCCTCATAATGTCTACATGTATTAATTGGAATTCTTCTGTAAGGAGGAGCAGCCTTTTCTTTCCCAGTTATGCATTTATTCAATTATTTATTTAAATTAGTATGGATTCATGGATAGGTATTTTATTCTATGGGTTACAGCCCAATACTATGTTAATTTACTTTGCTGGTCAAATTGTTCCAGCTTTAGCCATTGGAAGCTCCTTCAGGTTGGTTCCTGTGCCCTTTCAACATGCCCCCATTCTTTTCTTGAGCACTTCCTTACTTTCTGGCACCATGATGCTCCACGTTCATCCTGCATTTTTCCTGCCCCAGCCCTGAATCAACCACTTCTCCAAGTAGCCCTGGTACCTTTTCTTGGAGAATAGTATTTAGAAACCAAGATCTAAGTACTAAGTATGTCCACTGCTATTATTGTTGCTTCTAGGTCCTCCCAGTGGACAGAGCTAGGAAATATATATATGTATTTATACATGCATACACATATCTATATTTATTTGTCTACTGCTCTAACTATATTTTAAAACCCAAGAGTTCATACTGATACCTTCAATTCTAGTTCAGTACCAAAGGGTTCATCCCAGCCTTCCCCTTTCCTTATTTGTAACTTCTTTCTCTGACAGTGAGAAACCTAGCTCTCATTATCTATGCTACATTTTCTTATTCTTTCAACTGTAATATATATAAAATATATTACATATAAATATTCAGAATTTCGAACCCATACCCCTGTAAGAATCAAATTTATTAAATAGAGTGCAGGATTTCTGTTCATTTCTTTTTGGTTTTGGCCTCATGGTATCCAGTCAGAATATACCATTTTCCCAAATTCTTTAAGTTAGTTATTTTCCCCACCTCCTTCAGTGTGGTCAATGGTTTGTTTTCATGGCAGAGATTTTAGCAGGTTTAGAAGCTAATATGAAGGGTTCAACTGAGAGGATGAGGTTGGATAAACTGGAGAGAAAGAGATTATATGCCAATTTTTCCTTCTTAATATGTTTCTATAACCAATCATTTAAGTTTTCTACATGGATTATCTTACAAACAGAAAAAAAAAAAGTTTTTAAAACTTATTACTGCACATGGGCCCTCTCTGTGGCATAAAAAGAAGTAGTGACTTCAGTAGCTCCCCGACAAAAGAACGTTTATAGTTATTGTTAACTAAGCTCCTTGGCTTTCTGGCTTTTGGGCAGCAAACTGGATTCCAGTTTCAGCTCTAGGACCTTCTTGTTAGGTGCCCTTGGGCAAGTTATTAAACTGCTCTGGGCCTCATCTTCATCTCTGTAAAATAACTTCTCTGCCAAACTTAATCATTACCAAATGAGAATGTGGACATAAAAGAATTTTAAAAAGATATGGGAGGGCTTATAAAGTTGTATTATTCTTGTTACCATCAATTCTGACTACTGTGAAATACTATGAAAAAACTGTAATATGGAGATATAAAGCTGTTTCACCACCTGGTTCTGTCTGTTCTAGCTAAGATGATCGTAATCACGATCCTGCTGACAGAATCAGCAGGACAATGGTGCCCACAACTTGTAACGTATTTACTCTCCCTCTTTCTGACAGCCGTCCACAAGGCTAACATTCATCTGGGGTGCATGATCAACTTCCTTCCCTCATCCTCATTTAAAGTCAATTTCCCCTTGGATGATTTATGCCCCAATACATGGGCTACTGCAAGTTCCACAGAGCTGTCACTTAGCAGCCAGAGAGGTGCTTACCCACGATGCTATCAACCTGAGTGTCTGTTGTATTAGATGCACCACTTTGATGATCCAAGAGGGGTTCAGTCCTCTCTGCTGCTGGCAACTGGGGCTGCTGGTGAGGAAAACACACACAAGCAACAATTTAACAGGAGGTTGCTTCCGAACTAAAACCAAAAAGGCTCGCACTTCCACCCACTGGTTAGCTTTGGAGAAGCAGTAATAGGAGCAAGACACAAAGAGAGATGGAAGAAGGATCAAGGTCACATTAAACAAAAGGCTAAAAATTCACTAACTCAGCAGTGTTTCTCCTCAAGGAAAAATTAAAAAGTATTATGATTTTGCTATTGACTATTAAAACATATTGTTTGCTTTAAGATCATGTTTTATTCAAAATCTGAAAATGTATAAGATCCTATCACAAACAGCTCAGAGACTGAGGAAGAAGGTCCCAGAAAGACAATGTGGCACTACGTAATGTGTTCATGGTTCCAACCTGCCAACCAAGGCAGACCTGGACCAAAGTCCTTGAGGACAGAGGGTTGAAATCAGCCTATTTAAGCTCATTAAGGGCAAGGACCTTGCCTCAGATTGTACAGGACACAGGAAGTACTTAAAAGGAACCATTAATTTTATTTTATATTTAAAGATTTGGGGGCAACTTTATGCCTTAAGGAAATCCTAGCACATTTTTAAAAGCACTCTAGCAAAAACACATGCAACAGCCCAAATTGCAAACATCTTGAAAGGGCTTACTGCTTTAATGCTGAACTAGCCTGCTCTTAACAGCTAGCAGGCATAAAGAGGGCTGTTTTAGGTTCTCCTTTTATCTATTGCTAATATTCTCTGCCACTTCTTAAATGGAAAGGAGAAAATGATGAATGGTGCAAAGATTCATAATGACGAGTAGAAATTAAAGCCAAAGAAGAGAAAACATCCAGTAAAAATCTCTACCTCTGAGTGGCAGGTCTCTGCTGATCCAGTGCTATGGTTTGCTCCAGCCAATGAGCTGAGAAGGTTAAAGCCTTGGTTCCTATCTGAAAAGAAAAAATACAATCACTGAAATTTTTAATTTACATTTAAAACTGTTAAAATGACTGTGATGATGAAATAATAGCTATTTCCTCATTATACAAGTTCTAACTATAAAAAACAGTTACTATCAATTACAAAACTCTAAATTCCAGATAACTTTAAATCACATAGTATTAGTCCAGGTCAAATATATGGCAGGGCCATTACAACAAAAACAAAAGGCCATTCAGTAGTTCTGTTTGCAAAGATTAACAGAACTGACGTTTTAATAGTTACTATGAACAAATACTTCAGTGTTTTAAACAATTAAAAAACATTAAAAAGAATCAATACCAAGGCATTATTATTCACACTTTCTTGAATACACTTTCTTGAAATAAAGCTCTGTTTATGCAGTTAAGGTTCCCCATACTTCCGATATTTATATTTATAATGGAGGACAAATCTAGAGCAAAATATCAGAACCCAGTCCTGATCTGACAGCGTTCCCCAGAATCACCTGGACGCTTATTAAAATTACCCAGTATTCAAGGACCCAACTTCAGACTGAGGCGGCATCTATGGAACACAGGCCAAGGAATTTGAACTTTTAGCAAGTACTCCAGGAGAGTCCTTAGGATCAGGAAAATTGGGAAAAAAAAAAAAACAAAAAACAAACAACAACAAAAAAAACACTGCCTGAGAGTAGAATGTGAAACCCACAATTCAAGAGTCTAGTGGTACAGAAGTCAAAGAACTGCTCTCTCAGGAAGACAACTTCTTCCCACCTTGCCTTTCCTCTCCCTATAGCTTCGCTGGACCCATTCTCATCTGTCTTCAAAACAAGCTACAGACCTCCTAGGTCCTCTCCCTTGCCAGGTGAAACCTGTTGTCAGATAGTCACACAAAGCATCACAGAAAGATAACCAATTGCAGAAGATAACCTCTTCTTCCCTTTCACTTGGGGAGATTTGCCTTTTAAACTGGGAGGAAGCCCGACTGTGGCATGTGGGGTCTGGGCCTGCAGCTTTTCCCAAGCTGACCTCTCACCAGGTGTGCAGTCGCCTACTTACTGCACGCAGCTATCTACCAGAGTCAGCACCTGTGCTCTAAGGCTACAAAGGCGCTGGGCGGTACCAAGAACCTGCTGCTGCCCTGCTGCTTTTCCTGCTCCACAACCAAAGGTGCACATGTACTCCTGGAGCCCCCTCTCACTCCTTCAGCCAACCTGTCCAGTCTGTGAGGAACTCTCCAGCCTCAATGCCTGGATGCACCCCATCCAAGAACCAGGGGCTGTTTTATCAGGTAGGCCTTGGAGGCTCAGAAGCTGAGAGAAGCAGATCCATGTGATGTCCCACACTGATGGTTTCACAGAGCCTGGGGGTGTTTATTCAAACATCAACATAATTCTTTCTTGTGGCCAATGTGCTATAGACTCTAAAGCAGTTGTATGCAGTTATACAATACTCAGGGATTTTACATGTCATGAGGATACATGAGAGCTCTTATAAAATACTTTAGGCTTTTTGTACAAAAGGCATTATTTGAGTAAGAGAGTACTGATGCAAGAGAGCCCTCACTTCTATTACTGGAAATAACTTGGACTGTGGGTAATTGTCAAATCAGTTCACAAATCTCTCTCCATATTCCAATTCCACGGCTTATGTTTTTCCTTTGTTGGGCATTACCTAAACTTGGCAGGCCAAACTGCAATCCCTGAAGAATAATACAATACAACGTCAGTTTAGACACGTTATTAGACCAAAATGGTCTATTTAAAATGCCTCATTATTTACAGTGGCTGCCTCCAAGAAGGGGATCTGGGATGGACAGGAGTGAGAGGGAGCTGAACTAGTAACCGTATACCATAAACCTTTGTGTACCTTTTGATTTTTGTTCCATAATCATGTGTTTGCTCCATATTCATGTGTTTGCCTATTTAAAGAGATTTTTAAACGTTTAATGATTAAATGCTATCTGTATTTTACCACAATAAAAAAAAACCCTGAATGTCCCAATTCTAATAATGAATAAAATTATGGAACAGTCCAAATAGTGGGAAGAAGACTGGGCTAGTGGTCAGAAAACCTGGATTCCACTCCTGGCTCTGTCCACCTTTATGACCGTGGACAAGTCAATCAATCTTTCTGTGCCTCAATCCTCTGATCTGTTAAAAAAAAAGAGGGTTTCTAGACATGGTTGTTAAGGTCCTTTCTGCTTTAGATATTTGTGATTTTATAAAGTAAAATGGCATTTTTAGCTTGATAGTTAGCTCTGAATTAGGTATTTTAAATTACTTAATAGAAAAAAAAGAACCTTAAATGCCAGAATCCTTTTAAGGTCCACAGATGACTATGAGTTTATAATCAGGTTTCAGGCTAATGAAAGCTGGAAGAACTTTTGCTCAGTATTTTCTTATAAACAATGGAGAATTTAGTCAACTAATGTGAGTTCACTCTGTTCCACTGCTTATATATATTTTTTTTCTCTAAATTTTTTTAAACATCTTTATTGGAGTATAGTTGCTTTACAATGGTGTGTTAGTTTCTGCTTTATAACAAAGTGAATCAGCTATACATATACATATATCCCCATATCTCCTCCCTCTTGCGTCTCCCTCCCACCCTCCCTACCCCGCCCCTCTAGGTGGTCACAAGGCACCAAGCTTATCTTCCTGTGCTATGCAGCTGCTTCCCACTAGCTATCTATTTTATATTTGGTAGTGTATATATGTCCATGCCACTCTCTCACTTCGTCCCAGCTTACCCTTCCCCCTCCCCATGTCCTCAAGTCCATTCTCTACGTCTGCGTTTTTATTCCTATCTTGCCCCTAGGTTCTTCATAACCTTTTTTTTTTTTAGATTCCTTATATATGTGTTAGCATACGGTATTTATTTTTCTCTTTCTAACTTACTTCACTCTGTATGACAGACTCTACGTCCATTCACCTCACTACAAATAACTCAGTTTCGTTTCTTTTTATCGCTGAGTAATATTCCATTGTATATATGTGCCACATCTTCTTTATCCATTCATCTGTCGATGGACACTTACGTCGCTTCCATGTCCTGGCTATTGTAAATAGCGCTGCAATGAACATTGTGGTACATGACTCTTTTTGACCACTGCTTATATTTTAGGGAAGTTAGAGACATATAAATTTTCACAATTAGAAAAGCAATTCATTTTTGTTTATCCAAAGCAGATTGCTCACACATTAATGTTGCTAAGAAAAACCTGGATGTTTTATACACCTACGGTTTTAAAGAAACTCTCCATTCTCCCTAATTCAATGTTTAGCAAAATTCTGCCCATGTGCACCTACTGTAACACTATTGTTCTCACAGAAAAGAATTACCTGAATCTTCTTGTTTGCCAGATTTTTCTCCCCAGGATTCAGGGCATGGAAATGTCATCCCCATTAAGAAGGATTTATTCTTTTAGCAGATAGTTGTTGAAATTGGCTTTAGCATCTCTGGTTTTATTGACACGTCAAAGTACTACACTAGGAAGGAATAAATTAATCTACCTACTCAGCTGATTCTTCTGGAACTTCAGAGCCGCAGAAAGGAGAAGTTGTTAAGTGATGTAAAATAAGTTATTCTAGAAGGAATAGTAAGTATACTAAACTCTGGTCCTAAAAACACTAACTCAGTACCGGTCATTTGCATAAAATTCTTCCAGGAAGTGTCAGAAACAAAACCACAGCCTCTGGAATAAAGGTTAGCAATGGGAAATTCTCAAGCCTTGTGGAGGAGCTTTTATTTTATTTTTCAATAGGAAGTTTCAAGAAAACTTGAAATATATGAAATATTTGGTTATCTCTTTACAAATCTAAAGGCACACTTGTTTATCTTCTGCTACATTTTTAAAATATTTTTATTATAATATACATTTTTATTATATTTTTTACAGAGTAAAGTATAACTCGAAGAGATTAGGTAACTTGTTCAAAGTCACATAGCTAGAACCTGAACGTGAAATCCAGAACTCTCTGATTCTAATTAATTTCCATTAAGCTCACAGGTATCATATAAAGAGCAAAGAGACATTCAATGCTTGATATACAAATACTGAATATGACAACACAAACTTGGATTAAGTGCAAAAAGATATCTTTTTATTCATATAGTTCTCTTTTGTCAGTAATCCTTCATTACTTCCCTGGTTTAGACTGATTTCAACTGAACTAAGATGAACAGCTGAGGACTGAATAATTAGTCATATGCCACTTCAATGCCTCTCATTAATTTATCCCAGCCCAGCCCCCATAACTCCTGGAGACACTGGTCACATAAAACTAGTGGCAGACAGGTGGTTAGGCCCCAGTATCACTTCACTGTCCCTCAAGTGTATGTAGACAAGGGTTTCTCAAATTCAGCACTATAGACATTTGAGTGCGTACGGGGACGAGGGGCAAGGGGGCGTCCTGTACATCCCCGCCTATACTACCAAATGCCTATAGCACTGCCAATGTCCGCCGGGGAGAGGGGGGCAAAACTGCCTCCAATAGAGAACCACTGATATAGATCTAATTAGGACAGGAAATTTGGGGCTATAACGCTCAGGTTTTTGAGTCATTTCTTGGAAGGATTTTTCAATGGAAAAATAATAAAAGCATTTAAGATTCTACCTTTACCTCCTGTCAGCATTACAAATATCCTCCCCTTACTCTGTGAAACTTCTCTAGATGATTTCAGCTCCCTCAGTGCCATTTGCCTTGTTGGCCTTACTGTATTAGTATAAATACTTACCTTGAGTCTATCTGCCATCCTAAACTATATTATAAACTCCTTGCAGACAGAGACAGGAGCTAAGGGTTCTTACACGTTCCTCAGCTCCCAGCTTTGCTAAGTGTACAGGGGGGATGCTGAGATATCCGCTGACAGCCTGACATGACTGTCAGACAGAGACTGCAAGCATTAGAGAAGGTTGGAAAATAAGCATATATTTTATCCCACATTCCACTTCTGTTTGACAAATGGAAATGAAATGTTTTTAAAATCACAAAAGAATTAGAACC